ACTGCATGCTTGGAGATGACCAGCAGGAACCTTCCACAGCTCAGGTTTCTTCCCTACCTCCTTCACAAATAGACTCTTAGATAAAAATCTATTAGGGACACAAACTTTATGTTGACAGTACACTACATGGAACAATAACCACTGACTGACACAATTAAGACGTTTTAACAAATCTGACTTAATAGAAAAAGCATTACAAACTACTAGAACAGACCTTCAGAAACAGGGCTTCAGACTGCTCACATGAAAGACGTGAACACCAGGGTGCCTCCCTTCCCTACAATAGATTTTCTAGAGGCAAGGAGGCCCTCAAGCTCAACTCATGTCAATCCTAAAGTGTGCAGACAGCTTCATGGAACTATTAAATAATAGGGTGGGAAATTATCTGGTTCAAATTCACAGGATGCTCTGACAAGTATTTAGGTCAAGATGGCAGTAAACATCCTTGATCCCCCTCAATTTCAATACAGGTCACTGGCAACCCCATATGTAGCAGACATATGTTGTAGTATGTCTTAGTTTGCTAGTGGATCGCATCAGTTGGGTATGGTTTGGGACTCTTGACACTGCCTGCTAACACAGGTAGGTTAGAATTTCTTATTCATCAAAAAATGTTTCACTGCCAAGAAATGATGCAGATACTACTGGATTTTTTACTGTTCCTATACTGGAACTCTCATCTACGTGGCAATCAGCTCCAGCCTATCACAACTGACGTTTCACTCATGAAGTAGCCAGAGGATGCATCCAGTACCGATATGGACCAACCTGAATTAGACAAAGACAGACCAAAGTTTTGTCCCTTATCAATTCTCATTTGTAGTTTAGCCTGTATGAAAGTATATTTCAATTTTTATGCTTCCCTAAACTGCTTATCAATTAAATTATTCACTAAGTATCTAGTACTCATGACAGTCCATTTAAGGTGAGAAAAAAATACTGGTTTAACTTAAACCAATACAATTCTGAAATTCATGCCGAATTTATTCCTTCATACAAACCTGGTAACAATCCCTGTTCTGAATTGTAGAAAGAAAAGGCAAATTTGATTTTGAAGACCTCTGTAAAAAAACTGAAAATAAGAACAGGACTGGAACTAGAGCATTCCCTCCCCAGCATCTATGAACTCAAGGTAATCTTGCTCCAGGCTACTTAAATCACAAGTATTTCTTCCAATGCAGTTAGCTACAAGGTCAGACACCACATTTCTCAATCTCATTTATACTAAAACTTTTTGAAACAAGACTGATGCAATGTTTTTGCCGGCAGGTGAACCTATGCCTGAAAGCTGAGAAGCTGCTCCTTGATGAGGTAGAAACACCAACTCTAGCTCCAACAGTTCCCACACTGGGATTCTTGCTTACCAAGAAAATAACTTAATTTCAGGATCCTTCTTAGTCATCTGTTCACACTATACAGAAGACATCACACCTTCAAAAAAGAGGTCTGCAACTGAGTCTTGCTCCATTCTATTGAGGCAACTTTTGACACTAGTAGCAATGTGAGCTTCTAGCAAAACATCAAAATCATCATGCAAAGATGTGGGCAATTTGCACATCCATCATTAAGACCTTGAGGCTCACTTCTGTTTGCCCGCAGCTGCCTCTTAATTGAGAGGAATGTAACCCTTAAGCAACTTTAAAAAGGAATGCTAAATATGTGAAATCAGATCTGCAAGACAGAGATAAATACTTTGAATAGTCATCCCACTAACTGATCAAGTACCAGTTTTATCTTTCCACTCCCCGACAGTTAAGTAAAGGACCTTTTGTTTCGAAACACTGAAGTCACTGCCTATAGAGACAGGCTCTTACATCAACAGCCCTCAGCTGAAGACAGCAAGGTGTAGCAGCATCAGCCCAGTCTAGGGTCTTTGTCATTCCCGTGCATGTTCAGTATCGTTCACAGTGAGAGCAGAAATTGCTCTGAGGTCTGGTCAGCCTGGAAGGACTAAAAGCAGTGGTTTCAGTATAACCAAGGCTACCATGCTGAAACAGAGTACTTTACAGACCCAACCACTCACTCCACTGCCTAAAGAGCAAGCCACCTGCTATGGGAAGAAGTGCTGGTCATTCAGATCAAAATGGGAGGCAAAGTAACCTTCATTCAACACCACAGACAGGGACTATTCAATAAGAAAGAAGTCAAAGGAACGGTGTTGGGCTTTAAGAAGACTCTTATCTTGACTCTTGTGACACTAAGTGGTCCCTACCTCAGAAAGGTTAAATTGTCAGTAATCGATAACTGAAATGGAGAACAGCCATGAAGCATGGCCTAGTGAATTCACCAAGACAAGGGTGTAAGTTCTGGCAGTCATCTTTTGGAAGTCATACTCTTAATACAGGATTCCCTTGTTTTGGAGGAATTTGCTTTCAAATTAAACTATGTGTAGAGTAGTCAGTAGAAGAGATCAAGACTTAAAAAACATTCTTTCAGTCTCAGCACAGCATCACGTTATTAGGCCTGAGTATGGCCATTTCTCCTCTTTAGTTTCTACTCTGTAAGAAGTCTGATGCTCTATAGATCTGAAGTCCTGAAGTCTAAGAAGTAGGGCTTGAGAATCCACGTTGTGACTGGGGACACAAAAGTGTAGTTTGACAACAAAAACTGTTTAGAGGACAGTAGCCAAGACCAGTAATCAAGACTGAGCGGTGCCAGAAAAATTCCTTTATATGTAGCAGGTTGCCACACCATGCACAAGAAAAAAAAAAACAACTTAGAGAGTCACAAATGCTGTCTCCAGCATGCAGAGAATGAACACAGGAAAAAAGCATCCTCAAAGAGGTGATTATTGTCCTAATTTCAGCTCGGATAGAATTAATTTTTCTCTTAGTAGCTAGAACAGTGCTGTGTTTTGGATTCAAGTATGTGATTCTGTATGACAAAAGTATTGATAACAGATTGACGTTTTCAGTTTTTGCTAAGAGATCAAGGACTCTCCAACTCCACACATCTTGCTCATGCACAGGCATACAAGAAGCTGGGAGGGGGCATGGCCAGAGCACTGGATCCAAATTAGCCAATGAAATACTCTATACATTCATGTAACATCATGCTCAGTATATAAAGGAGGGTCAGCCAGAAGGAGGCTCTTTCATTTTCAGGGTTGCAGTTTTGGGATCTTGAGTTTTTTGGGATCACTAGTCAAGAATGGGCTGTGTTTCAGTTCGCAGGCAGTGAGCAATCACTTTGTGCATTACCCACTTGTACTTTCTATTATTGTTACTGTTTTATTTTATTAAAATTATTAAACTGTTTTTATCTCAACCTATGAGTCTCCCTTTACCCCTGCAAATTCTCTTCCAATCCCCAAGCTGGGGAGGGTGAACAAGCAGCTGAGTGGTGTTTGGCTGCCAGTGGAGTTTAAACCACAACAATTATTCAGTGTCATATCAGTATTTTCCTTAATTGTGTACTAGCAGAATGAAGGTATGAGCACTGGCAATTAATGTACTTTGTATTATTCAAAAAAGGTACAGGCTCTGGCTAAAGTCAGTCTCACTGTGCAGCTGACAGATGGTCAAATTTAGGAGAGATCCTTAACAGTTCACTCTGCTCACCCTCAGCAGGTGCAGACATGGATGAACTAAACACTTGGGAAATCTTCCCCTTGGTATCTTTTTGCAGCCAGGTTCTTTTTTAAGTATCATCCTTATACTGATGACACCCTAGTGTCTGCATTAGTGCGGGAAAAAGGTGGCATAACTTCTTCTGTCACACTACAGGACCAGGTATGCCATCAGGACAATAGAAGCAAGCATGTGCCGCATGCCAAAAACAAAGCCTGGGGTTGGTGCCAGAGTTGCCTGAGGTTTATAAGCCTTGTTCTCCACTATTCATGTACACAGTTAGGGAACACATCTCAAGCATATCCAAGTTAACACAAATGTGTAGTAGGAGCTGAAGCCACACACAATCTGCATCAGCTAAAGCTTTGGTCTTCCCCGCTTCCCACTGTTGCTGCTTATGGAACACTTGAATCAAAGAAGTTTTAGTGTGAAAAAAATGTCCAAGTTCTGCCACTACCTTCTGATAATAGGAAAGTATTGGTGTCCATCTCAAACAAAAGCATAGAGAATATGCAGGCTCTAAGAAGTGTAGTTTTAAATACACAGAAACCAACCAGTACATTCAGGGGTTGCAACTAAAGACATAAGATAAAGATGTGCTCTTGAAAGCTGGATATTTGAGGACTCTGCAAAAAAAGCCAGGAAATATAGTACCAAAGTCAACATTCATGAACAAAACTAATTAAATGTTGACATAAGTGGTACATCAATATTTTTTTAATTTTAGAGAGCTTAGAGCTGAAAAACAGAGATGAGACACTGAATTTTGCCAACCATCCTTTCATTCTTGTTTTAAAGTGCAGGCATCCATCTGGTAGTTCTCTGAAAGTCAAACAACTGATCTAAATACATGCGACCTGTGCGCCAGCAGTTGCTAAAATAAAGTACTAATTGAATAATTCACACTGCACTTCATACTGGCACTCTCAGACAGAACATATTGATTCAAATGTGCATCCTTAAGAAATTGCTCAAGTACCAGAAGGAAAAAGCAGCTTCACCTACAAAGTAAGGTAGTCTGCCCTTTTTACAAAGGTACAAGTTTAATTCCCTGAATCCTGGAAAAAGGAAGTTTTGCATCAGCTACGACTAATGAAGTCATGACTCCAGTGGAGCCGAATAAGAACTCAAGTAAACCTTGAATAAGTATCTGCTTTTCAACACCCGAATCTTCTTTCTAAAAACTCTAAAGCTCAGAAGATTTAAATGCCTAGTTAGCATTTATAGCACTCACATAAACCTGGACAAAACGCAAATACAGTGTTTGGGTATAGAATCTAGATAATGATGAACTAAAGTTCCTTTTCACTAGCAACATTAGCATTGGTTTCTTCCACCTTTATTCCATGATTTAAGAGAATTGCAAAACAGCACCTGACAGCTCACTGCTTGGAAAATGAAAATATGAAAAAAACCTCAAAACCAACATACCTGTTATTTTGTCCCTGACAAGCTTGCAGGATTCTATCTCCCCAATGCTGCCAAACAGACTCTTCAGCTCCTCTTGTGTCATGTTCTGAGGAAGGTAGTTGACTATTAAATTGGTCTTGCTGTCTTCTGTGTTCCCAGAATTAACTGGTGATGAGCAATTGTTTACTGTGGTTGAACTATGGGCTGTGTTATTGCAAGTTGGTCCATTAGACAGTTGTGTTTCCATGGCAGCAATTACCTGCTGAAAAACACAGAAAACAAGAACCATCAAAATTCATATTTCACTATCTGTTAGGACAGTCCAGACAAGAATCTAAAAGATGTTACTATGCAGAAACTGTATTGCCGGGACCATATATTGCCTCTATATGCAAAAAAACCCCACCAATACAGAAGGATTTTAACGGTTAGTCAAGGCAATACTTCAAAAACTTAGAGGCAAATAAAGTTGTCACTAAAATCTTCTAGAAGCAATCTCAATAAAGTTAACACTCAAAGCTTAGTTTCCATCCTCCCCCATTCCCTTCATTAGGGACATCACAGCCTTTCTAGTATACAAGTTACCAAGCAGAACTGGCCTGTTGCAAGGGTAATCAGTTCTATTAACTTATAACTGATAGCTGAAATGATATGAATTATAGCATTTAAAGTGATAGCATTTGGTTATTCTCAAAACCGGATGAGTGTTAACTGTATCCTGATCTTATTTTTCATAAGCAGTGGCAGAAAGCAAGATTAGTAATTTAAAGAGATACTTCGAAAGGTAGAGGAACATGTTGGGATGGAAGACAAGCTCTTCCTTGATAACCTCTAGGTCAACTGTCACCACAGGTTACAAGTAAGTTTCCAAATGCTTTTATTTGATTAAACTGACAATTCCTCACTTCTTCCCTCCCCGGCACCTTAGAAACACTTAAATTTGATACTTCAACTTGATTTACTTTTAGATATCAAAATTAGGGAGTGATCACCACTCTAGAAACTACTGTGTTTCACCCTATTAACTGACTTTATGATTGGCAGGTACAGCAGGAATCATTTGGAGAAGAGTCAGTACTTGCCCACAAGCTACCACATGTACTATAGGCTCTCTGCCACCTCAGTCAGTCACTGAATGGTAACAGTTGGTAAATACAGCAGATTTTTAATGTCAGCCTAATAGCCAATGATTAGGCAGCCCACCCGTGAGACCAATTAAAGACAATGTCCAGTAGAACATTCTATACATTAATTCTCCACTAAAACATTTCAACACAGAAGCAAGACTCATCAAGAAGTTTCACTAAAAAAGAAATCCAGCAATCACTGAAATCCAACCTCATACTTAAATTTCTAGGAGGAATTCTCACACAAAAAAAGTCTATTGTAAAATCACAGTGTAATGTCAGGACCTCTGGAGGTTATCTGTCCTAACTGTCCTGTTCAAAGCAGCATAGGCATTCAATGCATACTCAAACAGCTGATCAGGTCAAATGTACTAGGGGAGTACAAATCTGAATTTCCTAAAAACAGAGGGATTAAATTCAGTGTCTTAAACTACAATTCAGACATTCCTGGGAACACATTTCTGTGTTCTGCAACAGAGTTATTTTCCAAGAAAGTACTTCAGAACAATGTGGGGGGAAAAAGCATCTATTAAGAACATTTATTACATTTAAAACATTCAATGTAAATGTGTGATCTGGTTTTCCTGAGGAGCTACGACTGGAAGAACATTTTCTTCCCTTGTGAGAAACTCACTCAGAGGGGTAACCTGCTCCAGGCACTGTGATAAAACAAGTTGCTGTCAAATTGAGAAAGTAGATGATCCCAATTAAGGTAAATTACTTTTCAAAACACTAATGTATCTGGCAGAGCTAGTAGCCACATATACTGCACTCTGACTGAGGGTCTCTAGGATTGCCTAAACCCCACCCCCTTTTCCTTAAAGTCTTCATTGATAAAAATTAGCAGGATTTAACAAGGACAACAAACAGTCCTCACTTAACTACGCATTTATTTTCCTGTTCAGGTGGCAAGAATGAGATCCTAAGCCAACATTCAAGTGAACAGCTGCAGTAGCCTGTCTATGCTGAAATTACAGCATTTCTCAGCTATAGAACCATCTGCTCTGAGTAAAGTGATACTGATATGTTTTACAAATAATGCATATTCCATTGATAGGTTGAATACAACTGTTCATAAAACACAAAGCACATCTTCAGCAGTTCTTAATATTTTCCACCCTGAACAACAGTTTGATAAATTTACAGTTTTGAAACAATTTCTTAAGAGTAAGAATGTAAATATACTTTTAAATTAGTAATCAAAAATACACAGTATACAGGTTTAACTGAAATTTAGTATTCAGACCATACCAAAACCATTTTAGTACAATACTACTCTTCAATTATCCACCAGACATTTTGAATTAATACTAAAATCTAACTGATATTAGAAGAAAGGCAAGCCACTGCAGTTTAATTTCTACAGGAGATCACCATATTATAGAAAAGTTGTCATGGTATGCCAGTGTGCTCTGGGCTCTCACAGAATAAGGACACAACCTAAAGCCTGTAACGAAAGCAGAGTTAATGTTCCAAATAGGAAATGAGTTTGGTATGGCCTCAGCACTATTAACACGTAAAAAAGCAGCCTACAGAATTTAATAAAAAACCCACAGACCCCAGTCCAAGGCTCTGCTGCCCACGAACCACTTCTAAGCAGAGAAGCCACATCACACAGTCTGACTGCCATGTTAGTTTGGAGTTGCCGTCTGCAATGTGGACACAAAAAGTACCGTATGTTAGATTAACAAGATAATGCAACAAATCAGTTTGTACAAATTTACAGTAATTGCATTTATATTCCCAGCACGTCCATGCAGTGTGGCTTAATTGGATTTGAGGCAATTCCAATCTAATCTTTTCAAATTCAGTTCCAAAGTTATTTTTCTTACATAATGCTTATTTTTAAGAACATTTAAAAGATAACACAGTCTAGTTACCCCTGCATCTACCCTGGAAACTACCTCCAGAACCACACCATGCCTAGAAGGAACTATACCATAAAATGAATTTTTAGATCTTGAAGACTAAAGGACAGACAGACAAGCAGGGAGTTGACTTTACATTAACATTTCCATTAGCACACAAGATGACCATGCACCATTGAAAGACAGCTCCCCTTACATGCCTTTCCCAGCCCACGAAAAAATACACATGACAAACTACTTTGCCAGAATACAGACTGTTCTTAAAAACCTAGGTTTTAAAAATTAAAGTCTTGCTCAGGCAGTATTTAGTCAGTTTCCCTGCAAAAGATGTTTAAGAGTACCACTGGCCATACAAGTGGCAGTGGAGTCAAGGATTTCTCAAGTGGAGTAACTGGAGCAAAATATGCAAGGCACAGTTCTTCATAAGGTTATTTTTGTCCCAAAGCACACTGTTGTTTGTTTTTAAATAAAATATCATTGCAAACCCAGTTGGATTTGAACAGTGCTAGGAGGATACCACAAAAGCTAATGGGCCATTTGCAGATGATTACAAGTAGTCCAGATGTTAAATATAACCACAATGCTGGCACAGACAGAAAGGCTCCTAACTGTTGCCACAGCTTGAGACTGGTGTAAATACAAGAGATACTTGTCCCTGGTTAGCAGATGCGGTAAATCTAAACTTGATAAAAAAACAAGGACACAGATTTTGGAAGATTGCTGCATCCGGCATTTATAAACACATACTTCAGAACAATTTTTCCTCTTTCAAAACAGTGTAAATTAATGTTCATTTCAGTTTGCTACCGAAGTCCATATGGTTTGCTGACTTCACGTCTGGTCTTTATTTCTAACTTAAGTTGATAAATACTTTTTTTTTTTTAAATACAAAACACTGAAGATTTGATATCAGCTCCAAGTTTGCAAACCATTCGCTCTGGTCTCAACCCAAAACCAGTGCTAACAACCACACTCCTGAAGCTCTGCAAAAATATATATATATATATACACACACACACACACACACACACACACACACATACACACACACACACACACATACACACACATACACACACATACACACACATACACACACATACACACACATACACACACATACACACACATACACACACATACACACACATACACACACATACACACACATACACACACATACACACACATACACACACATACACACACATACACACACATACACACACATACACACACATACACACACATACACACACATACACACACATACACACACATACACACACATACACACACATACACACACATACACACACATACACACACATACACACACATACACACACATACACACACATACACACACATACACACACATACACACACATACACACACATACACACACATACACACACATACACACACATACACACACATACACACACATACACACACATACACACACATACACACACATACACACACATACACACACATACACACACATACACACACATACACACACATACACACACATACACACACATACACACACATACACACACATACACACACATACACACACATACACACACATACACACACATACACACACATACACACACATACACACACATACACACACATACACACACATACACACACATACACACACATACACACACATACACACACATACACACACATACACACACATACACACACATACACACACATACACACACATACACACACATACACACACATACACACACATACACACACATACACACACATACACACACATACACACACATACACACACATACACACACATACACACACATACACACACATACACACACATACACACACATACACACACATACACACACATACACACACATACACACACATACACACACATACACACACATACACACACATACACACACATACACACACATACACACACATACACACACATACACACACATACACACACATACACACACATACACACACATACACACACATACACACACATACACACACATACACACACATACACACACATACACACACATACACACACATACACACACATACACA